AAGTACTTTAAATGTTTATTAAAATGGAAGAAAGAATGATTCATACTGGTGGACCAAATATTTTGATGCTGAATTAACTATAGGATATACCACTATCTGTCAATCGATTCTTGTTTTGAAAAATAAAGCATTACCATTTTTGCTCAAATGAGAATTTATACAACCAAAGAAAATAACTTTAAAATAAATTTCCTAAATAATACTATTAATACAAATATTTTTCATGAAAGTCCTAATAAGGAAAACATATTTGAAAAGAGAAAATTATCTGATTTGAAAGATTATCAAAATCAGAAATTAAAAAAACTTGCTTATTGAAATATTCTAATATCTTTTATGACAAATTACCAAAGTTAGTTAACACAACTTTGATACTACTAATGAAAAAGCTGTATAAAGTAGGACATATCTTCCAGTAAAATTGTAGGTACTTAAGTTACAAATAAGTGATATGGTTAATGTTGGACATCGTGGACATCATTAGTAGTGATAGTAGAGAAAAAAAACAACTGGTAGCTTCAGAAAATTTTACAAAGCGATAGTAACAGAGATTCCCATTACCAGCGATCTGTTAAATGCAAAATTTATCAATCATCTGGTTACTGGCAAATTCCAGTAAAACCTGAAGACAAACTGAAACATGCATTTATTATAAATAACAGCCTTAACCAATTTAAAAGTTATGCATTTTCAATTTAAAACATCCTCCAGTTACTTTTTAAAGGCTCACAAACAAGTTACTAGAATGAATAAATAGTGTTTCTTGAGAGGCACACATAAATGATATAGTGATATTCTCACCAACTTTTGAACAACATCTAAAAGACCTTGAATTTTTATTTTACAAATTCATAAAGCAAAATTGTCCATCAAAGTTAGTAAAAAGTTGATAAAAGTGAATTATGTACATGTAAATTCAAAGTATCTTACTTAGGTTTTACAGTAATACCGGAAGGTATAAACACAACTTCTAACAAAGTTTAATCTGTGGAGAATTTTCCAACCTCAAAGAAATGTGATGAACCAAGAACTTTTTGGGAATATGTAGTTGGTATAATAAATTTGTACCAAGATTTTCCACAGTTGGCAAGCCTTTATATCAATTAGAAAGAAAAAGAAGTAAATGGAATTCAGCATGTGAAGGTGCTTTCCTAAAATTAAAGCAGGCTTTAATATCATCTCCATCATTATAGCTTCCTCAGATATATTAACATTATTATCCCCATACATATGCTTCAACAATTGGATCAGATGCAGTCCTATCTTAGAAAGCTGTAGATGTCAATGCAAGCAGAATACCCAACTTAGCCAACACAAATTACAGGATAACAGAATTAGAATATCTAGCTGAAATGTACCTAGATGTACATGGTGGAAACAAATCATGCTGTTCTGAAGTGACTGTAAACTGCTTCACACTAACTAGAAGACTAACACATTGGTTTCTGATATCACAAGATTTAAATTTTTCAACAATCCACATGAAAGGACACAATCAGAACTGTAACAATTACATCAAGTGGTGAATATGATATGTATGCAGAATATGGCTATGAACATGAATGTTAATTAGTGAATACAGCTGTAAATTGCAAATTTATATTTTGCCACAGGATCTACTAAACCTATAACATCTTTATTTTCACTCAGAGTTACCATAACATATGAATCTTCTTGATACAAAAAGCATGTGGTTTTCAGATTCACTGTCACAAATGACTTGATAGCAAGGGAAATGTTATTTAAGTAATTCAGTGTACTTGATCGGACACTGGTGGAATATAATGATTAGATATTTGCATTACATATTAAATATGGTTGACATTGTCAAGCAATCCAGGTATAATGAAAATTTTAGTCTAAAATTGTACAGTCTAAGCTAATCAGTTCAGATTGCTGTAGAACATTGTCAAAACTTTGCTGTTTTGTTAGCCTGTGCTGCCATAAAACAGTATAGTCAAATAATGGTGAGAAATTATGCTTCCAGTTGAAGATATCAAAGCTATTTTGCAGTTTTTTTTATTGTTTCTCCATGCACACTGAAAGTAAGTGAGCTTTTTCTTTGTGTGACAAAAATTTTAAAAGACTACAATTATTCACTTCAGAGTTAAGATGATCACGAATAATGAATATTTTAATGCTAGTAATAAACAACCTTTTAAAAACAATATATATTTTTCTTTAAGTAGACATTTAACGTTTCACTTTACAGCTTCTTCAGGAGCATTATACTAAAACACAAACCATAACTGACAATAAAAACTTCAAGTAAAGCTTTGTATTGTCATTAACAGTTTGTGTTTTAGTATAACGCTCTTGAAAAAGCTGTAAAGTGAAACGTTGAGTATCCAATTAAAAAAAAACTTGGTGTTATAAGGTCATTTATTACTAGTATTAAAATGTCTTTTATATACCAATATGTACTACATAAATTAACTCTTTTAGTATGAGCTCGGTCCCTGGGACCAACCTCGTAACCATTTTGTGCTTATTATACTTTTCATGTTATAACTTTTAAATTAGTAAGTGTATGTTAATGAAATTTGGCAGATTATCAGTAAACATTATAATGCTTTCATATGCAAAATATCAAATTTTTTATTAAGTTTTAAGGTCATGTCATCAAGGCAATGCTCTGTTGTTAATAGTAAAACTGTTAAAATTTTAGGGCGAGTTTACAGACATTCATTTCAATTCAAAAACAGGTAATTATTTTCTACACAAATCACTAGTTAGGCCTCACTTTGAATGGTATATAATTTTTGATCTCCCTCTCTAAGAAAAGACATTCACTTACTAGAAACGATTCCAGAGGTGTAAATGTAATGAAGTAACTTTACTTGAGTAACTTTTTCATTATGTACTTTTTAAAAAGTATTTATATTTTCAATTACTTTTCCTCTAACTTCAGTAATTTTTAAGAGAATTTCTTGTACTTTTACACATTTCATTACTATTCTCAAAACTCAAATTTGTGGCAGACAGTCAAAACGTAAGGCATGTGTGGGAACTCTAAAGCTACAGCATAGTTCTGGAAAGAGGGACTGAGAGGCATACCTGGCATGCTTTGTTAATGGTATAGAGATTTTCAAGTCTTTTTTTTTTCCAGTCTACCTGACATAGCCATACATTTGAATACACCACTCCCTGCCACCACTGTCTGCAAGTGTCTCTTCAGTTGTGCTGGGCAGATTTTCAACCTTTTGCATGCAAGGCTTGACTGTGACAACTTTAAAAACCAGTTGCTTCTCAAATTGAAGAAGAAATTTTGTGCATAATATAGTTGGTTGAATTCATATACTTTTTTTAATTCCTTATATAATATAGTTTTATTCCAAAACAATAAGATTTGTACAATATTCATAATTGGCCTTACTATTGTAACAAGTTCATGCATAGCTGCCTGTATGAGTTGGCTAAAACCCCAAGTGTAGTTGTAAATATCATAGTAATCAATTATATACAACAAATGTGTTCTAAAAGAATGACAAATCTTGCATCACTCTATTCACTGGTAATTTACATAGTTTGGTAAATCTTTTCCATAGAGGGTTTTATTTTTAGATCTTGTGGCCCACAACATACATGTGGGGTTTGAGAGAACTGCAGATAAGTGTACTTTTTACTTTTGTTACTTGAGTATTTATTCAGTAGATACTTTTTTACTTTAACTTAAGTAAATTTTTGGATGGATACTTTTACTTGTACTTCAGTAACTTTTTGACAAAGTACTTGAACAACATATTTCAATACTTTTTACACCCCTGAAGGATTCAGAGGAAGATGATTTTGGGGATGAAAATATTATCTTGTATGGACAGGTTAATATCTCAAAGAGAGGTACTATTACTACCATGGAGTTTGAAGTTAGCTTCTCTTTCTTATTCAGAGGATGACATTTCTGATACCACAGGAAAAAACTACTACTTTCAAAACAAGAATCTGTATTCTATAGTTAACTGTACTTGCTTGAGAATCTTAGCCATTTATTGATTTCAGGAGCCTCTCAAAACAACATTCTGGTGTCTTACATACTCTGCTTACCCTTTCTGTTGAGAGTTTAAATGATGATTTAAAATGAACTTTACAAGATTATTCATGGGATTAACTGTTTTTATTTTTATGACCTCTTCCTAAGGCAACAGTTTAATATTCAGAAAATAAAGAATATTTCAGGTATTAAATGTGAATGGTTTATGGAATGAATTGTAAATTCATAGATTTAACAAAAAACATAAGCTAAAAACTTTGTTACATGTTTACAGGGCCACAGAAAGTGGTATGACCAGTCAGGTCATGGCATGACCACTTTTTCATAGCATGTGTAGCTACAACTTATGTATTAAAACTTACTTATTTTAATTCAATACATTACCTTGTGTGGATGCAGTATTTGTAGTTAAAATGTCTGAAGATTCAATCTCATAATATTAAATTTTCAAAACGTTTCTGGGAGAGCATGTTCCAGATTCCCACTAGAAATGGCATGCTTTGCACACATCGTGTGTCACATTGTTTAGCTGTGGCAATGACCCGACCACTCAAAAATTGCTTAAGACTTAAGTTAATTCCTACAGTAGTGGTTTATCTGACAGTTTTATTTCTTTGAGCCTTCGAACATACATGTGGGGTTAAACAGGGTATCAGCCCTTCCTGTATTATAACCCACCGCTACGAGAATAATTAACGCCTATTATATTAATAATATGTGCACAGCAGTACATTTTAAGCGTTAGGCATAACCACCATTAAATATGCAAGAGTTTCGCTGCAAGTGCAATACACAATGACATTGCAGAACAGCCAACAAATATAAACAACATACGTAACATAGGCCTGTAGGACATTGGGAGTAGTACGAGAATTTAAGCGGAGTCAATTAACTCTACTACTACTACTTATCAGCCTTAACATAAAATTAGTTTAACAAGCACAGTACTATAATGCACTTAAATGGGCAGTTAATAACAAAATAGTGTAAACTCATGAGAATTACGTACCAACACCACACAACTTGTGAAATCTTCCTCAATGACGTTAATCCTACGAGGTCTGACCATAGCATCTCTTTCTTATTCAAAGGATGACATATAGGGGAAAAAGCATAAAAAAAACACAAAATGAGACAAAACTAAAAACCCCCTTTTTCATCCCTGATGAAGCAGCTGAAATGAAAAGTTTTTTTTTAATCATTATTATCTGGAAAGTAAATGTCGTCTCTTTCAACTTTATTCCTAAATGTTTAATTTTTTTCTATATGCACTACAGATTCTTAAACACAACAAAATGTTTTCAACAGTTAACCGAATTTGCTGTGGGTATATTTTCACAAATGGGGAGAACAAATAAATAACGATTAATGGTTACTTTATTGGTGATTGAAAGGTTCATAAAAAACCTACTAAATATATAATTGGTAATACCGGACATCAAAACTATCACTTAAACAGTATAATTTCTTAGCAATAATTCATGTCCTGATTCACTGGATTGCTAGAAACTAACATGAGAAATTTCAGGGTGGTACAAACTTTCCAGTCAAATTTATCAAATTTCAGTTTTACCGCAATATAATCACTATAAATAACGGTTTATAACACACTTCAAAATTTTCACTTAAAGCAGTAGCAAAATTTCCAAACACATGTTTATACACTGATACAATGTGTAACTAGCTAGAAGGTATATAATTTTAACAATAAGATTTGAACGTGGGTTCATGTTTATTTTGTAGTTTGGTACAGAAGTTCACTAAGCTTTTCGTGACTCACACAACACTATACATATAACCCAGTAATGCTAAATTATTCATTGTTTTATGTCTTGTTATGTTATATTTCTTTACTTACCTTACCTGTATATTTAAAATATAAATAGAACTGTATAATGGGGCGGATATTGTAGCATGAGACCGTTCTGAGTGTTTTCTATTTCCTTGGATAATGTGTGTTTTTTATAATTATTGATTTTTCATCATTCTCTGCTTTGACGCAGTGAGATACTTAAGTACATTACTTAAATTTCTCCTTACTTTCCTCTATACTGAAATGGATTACGCATTTGCCAGTATCACTATATTGACACTTGTTGACAAGTGTAGCCATATTCTTGGTCTCTAAATTGTCAAGTGTTACGGATATCAAGTGGTGGTTGAATGCTTTGGAATGATTTCAGTTTCTCCCCCCCCCCCATCCCTCCTCCAGTGGCTCAGCAGTACGTGTGGAGGCTTATAACGCTAAAAAGCGGGTTTCTATACTCATGGTGGGCAGAACACAGATAGTCATTTTCTTGCTTTGTGCTTAACAACAAACAAGCAAACATTTTTGGTGATCTCAGTTTTACAGCATTTCTTTTCATTTTACCATGTACATTGAAAATTTATTTATGTGTTTTTAAAAAAAAACCCAACAAATTGGCTATATAAATTGTAAAAATATTTGTTCTTAGAATCGGCATTGTAAAAATAAAGAGAGCAACAACTAATAATATTGTATTGGTCTAAACTGATCTTATTGTTGTCTGCTATATTATTAAAAATAAAGTTACAAATTTCGGTATAAGCTTGTACTAATCTGTGGTGAAGTAGAAAAAACATAATGCTAGTATTAATACCGAAATAGCGCAAAATTCTTTAATTGCTGTAGTTGATTGTACTGTATGAAGGTAAGTCTATTAAAGACTAGATTGAACAGGGAAAATGTGGATTTAGCATTATGTTAAATGATAAGGAAATTCCGGCTTTTTGTCTTTTCTTTTCCATCTTATTTGTTTTTCAGAAATGCTGTAACAAGTCAAAATATTCAAATATAATCATAAACTTTAAGAAATTATATTGTGGTTAGAATGTCACAACATGCTAAAATGACTTTATAATCTTCTTATTTGCATATGAAAAATTTTTGTTTTCGTACAAAGCAACACCTTCTACAGACATAATATAAATGTCTGCTATTTTGTTTCTGTTTATCCCATTGATTTTAAATTACATTTTTTCTATGTATGTCAATGAGATATTACTGGAATTATACTTCTCATGCTGACTTTGGATACTGATCTTGTTAGCGCCCTCTATGGGATGAATGAGTAAATTCTAATTCACAACATGTGTGAATGAGCAGAAATAATAAATACAAAACAAAATTTGAAATATTCACACTTACGCTATGCCAAAAAAAAAAAATCTGCTTCAAAGAAGTAAACCTCCTTATTATTATTTAGCTGAAGCGACACAAGAAAACCTATTAAAACAAAGCTTTTAAATCAAATTCCTCAACAATCAAAATTCTCAAAAGACATCAATATTTTATCTCTCCTATTTATCTGAGAAATATTTTTTTAAGCACCAGTCATCCAACGTCAAATGAAACCGCTGACACTTTGCACCATATCAAACACGTTCAGCATATATTGCTCCAAATCACATTGACATTCATACACATAGGTTTGTGTATGTTTTTAGAATATTTTGTAGCCTCAATATGTTGTTACAGTCCAATTTCCTACGCCCGATCATGCTCTATCTGACGACCACATATCTTGACAATAGCCCTGCAGCCTAATTTCCCTTGCACAACGTTTCATTGTAAGGCTGTCATGTCTAAAGCACACTACTTCTTCCTGCACACTTCCCATAAGCCATCTAATATATGAAGATAACAGAAGTCCATAGACAACAATCCGGTGATTTGACAGATATGTCTTCGTATGGAATAGCATGAATAACCATTTCGTCTTCCAGCTGCTTAAGTTGTGCGACGATTGAACGGGAAGTATGATCGGAAGCCTCATGTTGATGAATCCATACTATGGCCTCATTTCCTGACTGAGATCTTTTTTGCGCATGTTGCACGAAGACGGCTTTTGCTACTGATCATTGTGTTCGTGGATTCTAACTCACAATGCTTACCCTATTCGGAATATAACTAATTGTAGGTTTCTTTCTGGATTGTTCTGGTTTCCAAGTTGATTCATATTTCTTGACATTTAGTACAAGGGTATCCATGTATCGGAAATTCTAAATCCTCGATATGAACACATCTTTATGACCTAAGTTTATATATATATAGTATGCACTGGAAAGAGCTGTTACACATCTTCCGAAAAACATCGCATTTCCGGTAGCATCATACGAGCTACTAACGCCAAATAATGTCAAAACATAGCTCTGATACATTCCGTTTCACTGTGACTTTATATCGGCGTGACTTGCTTATTTGCATACTCAAAATCATTTGAATATAAAATACTCAACCCCTTGTATACAAAAATAATATGTTAAGATTCAGTGTTAACGTTTTACACTTAAATCCTTTAAGTTTTCAATCTTCTTGTTACCTTATAATCACTTGAAACTTTTGAAATCTTACACCTGATGAAATTAAACGCGAGTATGTTAAAATAATGTTCCTGAATTAATAATACTACCAAGGTAGCCTCTCATTGAAAAGCGAAATACCAACATTAGACTATTTTTCTCCAAAAATTTTTACGCTTAGTTGATCTCTACTTTTTCAAAATAGTTATGAACAAACTTTCAAACTATTCACTTCAAAACTTCTCTTGTACTTGTTGAGTTTCGAATGGTCGTATTTCGGTATCTAGGGAACGGTGGTTTTTATCATTAAATGCGAAATTCCGAAAGATTGCTACAAAAAGTTCAAACCTTGGTTAAAAGCTACATTTGGAGTCTCAAAAATCTCCCTATTTGCCCCATTTGTCTTCTCTTGATTCGTATGATCAGTGACTTTAGGGCTAATCCTTAATACTAATTTCGGAATATTTACTGAGGAAACACCCGTACCAAGTTCGTAACAAATAAATTAATTGCTTTAATTCATTTTATATTTATAAATATAAATAAAGCTAAAACCACATTGAACTAAATACTAAATGTTCTCATAAACCTACCATCCAGTGTTAATACTTGTAGAACGCTCAGAGTCATATACCAATCCCATCTCTGCCAAACGTGGCAGCGAATATGTACTTTTCTTCATACTATACAAAAATATCAAAGTGTTCAGCCCAAACTTCTGATAAATTAATTAACTGAAATTTTATCTACCTCTGTTGAATAAACGGTACTTGTGCTCAATTTTAATTTTGTTATGGTTCCATTAAGAACCAAATTAAAGAAGAATACAGTTGTATTCAATACCCTCTTCAACCCCACTGAAAGCAAACAAACATCCAAAGTCCAAGTTATTTTTTTACCAAACAAATCCAACTCTGATATTTATTTGAGCCCAAATTGTTTTTCAACCAGTATCCCACCCTTCCGAAAACAAAAGTTTAGGTTTTTTGTTACATTTCTATTACTTTCATCGCGCATCTTCTAGTCATTTGTTAATACTTTACCCAATCGTCTTTAAACAGTTTTTTCATAAAAATTTTTATTTTAAAAGTTTTTCTGAAATATCTCTAACACTGTCTTCACATCGCTACTTTCTACATAGGAACAGTTTGAAATTTTCAAATTGGAATCATGAAACCTCTGATGGTAAGCCTTCAATGGCTCAGCAATAAGTCTGTAGGCTTATGACACAAAACATTGGGTTTCGATACTTATGGTGGGCAGAACAAAGATATCCCATTGTGCAGCTTTGTGCTTAACAACAAGAACGAAACTAACCAACCAATTGAAACGAAATAAAATAAAGACAATATTTAACCTTGTAAATCACATCAAAATCTTTGGTTCATTTAACTCGTAAGTCATCCACCATCCTCTTATGTCAATATTTTATATGTATAGCCGTCCTAATTTAAAATTCGAAACTAACTGAGCAGAACTTTAAATTAAAACGAAGGTTTGAAGACGTCCTAGTATCTGTTGTTTTCACCCATTTTTAACTCCCTCAATTATCCATTTAAAAGTTTAGAAGCGGTAATATGGATTTATAACATAGTTTGTACTTTATTCTTCAAATGAGTGTTTGACCTGACAGAAGTTTTTATGGAAATTTTCGGATTCCTACCAAGAATAGTCGCAGTATTTTTTATCACCACGTCATTCCTTTATTATTTATAATTAAAATATTAGAGATTAGGCTTACGATATCAAGAAGATAGTCAATCAAACTC